AGAGAAACGAGGAAGCCCACAGGGCACCACTCTGTTGGCTAAAGGCTACAAAAAAGGACGTTTTTGGTCACAACTGTGATTTCTGGTCAGTTCTCTCACGTGATGCTCCCCACCACCCTCGGTGACCACTGTCCCTGTCTAGAGAGACAGGTGCCCTGGGCACCTAGAGGTGTGGGGTGGTGAAGTGATCCCTACAAAACTCCGCCTGGGGCCAGAAAGGGGTCGGTGGCCCTGAGCTGCGCTGCACACACGGAGCTGGCAGGAGGTGGCCCTGGGTTAGCCCCCTGCCCTACATTTGGCCACGCTCCCTCCTCCCAGCTGTCTTAGCTGGGGTGGCATGTTCATGGCATCCCCTGGAACCCCCAAATCTAAGAAACATGCTCAGTGTGCCTGAGCCACTAAGCTAAAGGTTAAATGAGGCCATTTCGTGTCCAATTCAAGTATTTCGGTGTTTCTTCAGGATGTGGGGCCAGTAGGTATGGTGGGTGGTTAAGGCGTTGGACTCCCCACATGGCCGACCACAGTCCAAGTCCCGGACCTAGAGGCTTGCTTTCTTACTTCTCTCTCTTGGGTCAAATTAAAAATAGTAACAATAAGTCAAATTAAATATTTTTTTGAGACGTTTTTGCTATGGGGCACTTGTGCTCACCAGAAAGACAGACAGAGAGACAGAAAGTGAGTCCTCTCGGGATTTTGGGCACACACGCACACATGCCCAGAGTGAGTTTAAGTCACTGGGTCCAGGACTTGAACCGTGGTCAACTATGTGGGAGTCCGGTGACATAGCCATTACCCAACTGCTGGCCCCTTAAATAACTCTTTAAAAAGAAGAAGGATGGAGGCGCTCTGGCCTCTGTTCTGAGCTGGAGGCAGCAGACTCCGTTAATGACGCCATGTGTGTGCTGGACCACAGGCTCCGAGGGCGGGTGCATTCCAGGGAAGCCTAGCAGTTCAAAGTCTGGCCCAGAGACCATCCTCAACTAACTGCAGCCCGGACATCAATCTTGCCCGTTGCAGTGACTGCTTGGGGAAGGTGGCAGGAGGATGAAGGGTCGCTTGCAGCCCTGCCCAGCCCCTGAATTGCCTCCCCTGCCCTGAGCCTACACTGGTCCTACCTGCAAAGTTGTTGGAGATCCTGCAGTCCCCGCTGTCGCAGCAGCCCTGGAACCTGCAGTACCACGTGGTCAGGGTGTCCAGGTACTGGCGGCCCAACAGGGGAAGGCTCCATCCTGGAAAGGTAGAGCTGTGAGGCCCACGCAGTGATGTCACAGCCCTGCCACACAACTGGCCAGGGACCAGGACTCAAGTCCCAGTGCCCACCGCCTGTGCTCAACACTGCCCCCATCAGAGATGGTACTGGGGGTCGGGTGCAGCCACCCGGTGTGACGGCGAGTCTCAGAGTCGTCAAGCGCGTGGGAAGCACCTGAGTTTAAACGCGGGCGGGCTGGGAGCAGGCAGGTGAGTGCGGGCGTGTCTGGGAGTTGGACCGGTGGGGACCGGAGGGCCACGGGCTCTTCCTGGCACTAGAGGCGCGCCGGGGGTGGCCACGGGAGGCAGCGACGGCTTGCCTGGTGCCCGTCTGGGGGCCCACTCCGCGTCGGCGCGGCCGGCCCGCAGGCTCCCCGGGCTGGG